ACCCCCTCCCCTCACCTCACCCCTCACCTCACCTCAACCCAGTGTACCCCACCCTCCCATAAAGATTAATGTTCTTTTCAAAGAAAAAGAAAGGGGGCATCAAATTTTCTTCCTTCAAAACCCCCTTTTGGGGGGGGGGGGGGGGGGGGGGTCGATGCCTAGAGGACTAGATTTCATTTTTTTTCTCAATAAAAGTGCAATATCAGAAATGGAGGAAGAGCCAACACTTACCATTCAAGTCGCTGGTTGTGGAAGCAGGGTCGTCCTGACACGTTCCCTCTTTACATGTCTACACACACGGAAAAAGGAAAGTCATTGGACAACAGGTTAAATAATTTGACGGCTTTTGTTTGTTTTTGTTGTTATGATCTTATGCTATTGCAAGCGCCATAAAACACTTACCATATGAGTACGCGGGACATATTAGATTTCTAAACATTTTCAGTATGGTTGGAATTATTTAGTTCTTAAAATCAATATAAACCGAAGTTTAATACCAACATAGAAAACACTACTTATTTGGTATAATTTCAAAAAATAAGTGAATATATAGTATGAAAAAAAGTTTCCTGTACAAATGTCACAAGAGAAAGTTTAACTCGATTTTTAAACGTTATACAGTGGAACTCGGGTTCAACTAGGTCGCCGGGCCTGACCTAAAATCTCGTTGAATCCGAGTGTTCGTAATAGCAAACATGAGGCTTTGTGTCGATAATTACACTCACTGAGCAAGTAATGTGTAAAGAAAAGTCACAAAGACGCAAGCGCCTGAAATGCCTGCATATTATGAGCTGTGTAAAACTAAAAAAAGACCGATTCGTTCAAATGCACGCCTGTGTCATCTCAATCGTATGCCAAGAAGCTGTGTTGCTGTGTACAGCCTTGCATAAGGCAACTTTTGATTCCATAGACTAGCGCACAATACATTACGTAGATCATGATCAGTTGCCGAGGGGGAAAAAAGACTGTGATGCGTTTGTATCTGCGACGGTGACCCCCCCCCCCCTCCTACCCGACACGTACATACAGTCATACGTGTGCAGGCCGCCCATCCGACCCCGACACATGCCAGAGTAGACACATGCGCGTGCCAACAACGCATATGTTGGTATGATAAAAAAGGCCGGTGATTGGTCACATGCAATCTATTAAGTGAATAATAGTTTACGATTCAGGTGCAATGGATGGTTTCAGGGAATAGAAAAAGTTAGTTCCAGGAGAAAAATGAGCGAAGCCACGTCTGCGGGGGCTGTTCACCCAGGAAGCGACCTCGTTGAATCCGAGCTCGCTGATTTAAGCGCTCGTTGAATCTGGGTTATTTTCTATTGATTTTAAAGAAGAAAAAAAACCCCGGGGAATCTATCTCCTCTCCTTGAATCCGAGTTCTCGTTGAATCTGAGCTCGTTAAATCCGAGTTCCACTTTACTAGTACACATGCATTCGTTATTTGTTTGGTGGAATTTGTTTTGTCAAGAGCTACCTTCCTACCCCTAATGACATAAAAATTCTGGAATTTTCTTAAATATGGCTATTCTTGATTAATCTTAATATAATGCCAAACTCATAAATTGAGGTTACATTTGATGGCACAATTTTGCTATTTGAGCATCCTAGTGCTACATTTGCTCCCTTTATTTTGAAGTTCGAACTTTCTATTTTGAATATGATTTAACTATGGTGAATAAATTATGTTATCTTGTTTGAAGTTTCTATATTTTGATATTTGATCGGGGGAAAGTGTACAATAAAATAATGGTTGCGGGCAAACATGACAAAAAATGGTAGGACAAAACTTTACATTATAATATGTCTTACTTATTAGACAACGAAAGACAGAACGCAAGTGACAGGAGAGAGACAGACAGACAGACAGACAGACAGAGAGAGAGAGAGAGAGAGAGAGAGAGAGAGAGACAGACAGAGAGAGAGAGAGAGAGACAGAGAGAGAGAGACACGCACACAAACAGACAGACAGACAGACAGACAGATACGCAGACAGACAGGCAGGCAGGCAGGCAGGCAGGCAGGCAGGCAGGCAGGCAGGCAGGCAGGCAGGCAGGCAGGCAGGCAGGCAGGCAGGCAGGCAGGCAGACAGACAGACAGACAGACAGATAAATAGATGGATAGATATATTCACCTTGCCAGAACCACAAACCATACCATCAGTAGACATGACGGTACCACACGTGTTTCCACTAAGGTAGCAATAGAAGGACTTGCACACATTGTCTCCTTTGGGTGCGGCATTGTCATAAAAATTTCTGTTCTGTGGAATACAAAAAACACTTTTTATTAGTCAAAAATTAGTTTTCAAGATGAATCCAAAAACACCTGAAATCTCAGGAGTACGCCGCGGATCGTACATTAACAGAAAAATCAAAGCATCTCTAGACAAAACGTGTGCATTTTCCATGTTATCTTAAAGGTCGTCGTTATTTGTTTGGTTTTGTTTTGTTTTGTTTTGTTTGTTTGTTTGTTTTTCTGTTCTCTGTCAAAGAGTCAACATAACAAGAGGATCCACTCCTCTCTTTGAGCCAATTAAAAGAGTTTCTTCAAAATTCGGTGGCGCCCTCTTCGCAAAAGCGCACCCTTTGCAAACAGAGTTAGTCTACTTGCGTAAAAAAAATCGAAGTGAAACTAACAAGTGTTGAATAAATAAGAATTCAAATTTCGGAAGAACGCTTTTTTAAATAGTGACGTTGACAAAAACTTCTTCTTTAGGCCTATAAAGACGAAAATGTTACAAACAATGCCCACAGAACCCAGAGACAACTTAGCAGGAATAAAACGGATTTCAACGCGCATTTAAACATCCATGCCAAGGCGTATATTGTCTGATAATACACTAGTATTAAGGTCATTTTCGCACGGAGAAATATGGGTGGTGTTCTGGAGCATTGTCATGATGGGTG